ATACACTTCTGCACGGCACTGTAAAACCTGACCTCGCACAATGCGACCGGTACGGCGACAGTGATAAAAACGGACAAAAACTTAAAAGAATTTCGCAAGGAAATGAATAAATAGAATTTTATAGCACCTATTTTATATCAGCAAATTCAACTGATTTTGCCGCTATTGTTATTATTAATTAATGAAATTAATTTGTGGTTTTAATTAATAAAATAATTTGACATACCTGATGTTACAACAACTGTTTAAAATTTTGTCCACCGACGTGTAAACACATTTGATCCTGTCTTACTAAGTTTCTACAAACTAACACAAATGTTGTCCTGCTTCACCATAACACAAATGTTGTCTTGCTTCACCATGAATTAAAACGATATCCATCAACTCCGAGTTGCTATACACAAGCCATTTTTGACACTAACTGGGTACTAAAAAGCTATTGTAAACACTACCGCAACGACGATTGTATTGGGAGTCGCTGACGCCACGTGGCTCTCACGCGTATTGCGAATGACGCTAGAGACTACAGTTGTCCAGCGAAGTAGTGTTTGAAAGTAGTCCAACTTCAATAATTTTTTTCTCGGAAACTATAAGGATTTTACAAAAATTTTTTTACGATATTGACTCCATTTCTCATGCCGCATCTATTCCCAAATTTTTTTGGATAAATTGTGAATCACCCTGTATAGTATTAAAAATATAATAATTACAGATTTCTCCATTATTATAAGTCTATTTTTTGAATATTCCTAAAATTTTGGTTTATAGTTTATAACGTATAATAAATTCTAACCCTTAAATATAACCTAAGTACAAATTCTTTCGGAAAAGAATGACACGGATGACTAAAAGGTAGTCTTTTAATTAATTCAAGAAATGTTCTACAAATGTTATTTTTTGTGGATAATTGTTCAAAATTATCTTGAAATATCTTTTCAGTGTTACAAATGAGCTCAGCAAATGGCATTTGCAATTGTCCAAATAAGATATCTTCATTTTCATTATTATATAAAATAAAAATAAATCAACGAAATTATACCCACGCCCAAGGAATTTATAATACATAGGATTGCTCGATCCCTATACCTTCAATGTTGGCCGTTTTCCCACTCTTCCGTGACGTCACCGCGGACCTGGATTTGTAAGAAGCCTGTGTATTCTTATGGTGCTTGTGCGTTCTTTTAATAAATTTGTGTTATATCTTCTTCCTTAAACTTTTAGCAGCAGTGTGTGTAAATTGTAGAACTTTTTTAAATCTTTGTACACTATTTGTACTAATAAATATGGTAAGTTGTAAGAAAATAATATAATTCTTAGGCCGGTGTCCCATGCATCCGAATTCCGATGTACGATATACGAAAATATTTTAATTCATACTATACTCGGCGGCCGAAATTATAAAGAGTGACTAAGGCCGGTGTCCCATGCATCCGAATTCCGACGATACGAAGGTTCGAAAGTGTTCCTATTGGTTAATATACATTCAAATTTTTACCGCTCATTTTCATCCGAAATTTTTAAAATTCATACGACGTCGGAAAAAGTAGAAATAATTTTAACTTTTATCCGAAATCGTATGTTTTTTAACCCTACTTTTTAAGTTTTTAACTTACTATGATTGTTGTTTGATATATTTACAGTCAAATAAATGTTATATGTATTATAATGTCGAATGTAGAAAATATAATATTACGTATATTTTCTATAATATATAGGTTGTCATTTGAAAATGTTTCACCTTCATCTTGTAATAAATTCCATGGTTCTATACTTGATTTCTATGAGATTAATTTCGGATGCATGTGAATTATAATAACGAGCGTTCAAATAAAAACGTGGCCAAGTTGGTTCTGAAAATTTGGACGTAGGGCGTAGCGTATAGCAAATGAACTTAAACGTCATCTGTCAAAGCGCTATATCGCCGCTATCAATTTGAATATTTTCGTTTTAAAAAGCGTTTAAAATGGTGTTTTCTCAAGAACAAAAAGTGTTTATCATAGAGTCCTACTTTAGAAATGGACGCAAGATTGATGGAATATGGAAGTATTCTATTGAGGAATGTTTCCTAGAATTTCAAAATCAATTTCCCGGCGTTGTTGAGTACAAAATTTTTCAAAGTGCAGTTCAGCGTTGTGTTAATGTTTTTCGTGAAACGGGCAATGTAACAAGAAAAGAAGGAAGCGGCCGACCTAAAAAGCGGACTGAAGAATTAAAAGAAAATGTCCAACAAATAATGGAAAATGCGCCAAGAACTTCTGTACGTGTTTTATCACAAATGGTGGGAGTATCAGTCGGTACCTGCCACACAGTGTTAAAAAAAGATTTGTTTGTTCTCCTTTAATTGTTCGTTATTGTTATCACGATTATTCTTTAAAATAAAGTTATATAGTCATTAACGTTATTGAAACTAACAGCTGCTATACCGCTCGTTGAGAAATGAGGTTAAGTTGGTCGCTATAAGCTACTCCCTACGTCCAATGTGTCAGAGCCAACTTCGACCACGTTTTTATTTGAACGCTCGTTATTATCATTCGTACGAATTAAAATATTTTCGGATATCGTACATCGGATTTCGGATGCATGGGACACCGGCCTAATACATAATATAAAAACACTATACCATAATGCGTATAAAATATAAAATGATTTCTATACGGTTCAATATTATTTATCTTTGTGCCTCTCGCCATGCACATCGGTAGAATCTATAATCGTGTATAGACTGAGTTACACTGAACGTCGATCTATATTTTATCTCTGTCTTTTGCACTTGGTAGGAAATAAGGAAATGCTTTTTTAGTGGGTGTAAACGGACTTGATTTGCCCGACATGACAAACGTCATAGCATAAGCGTAGACGAGGGGTCTAATTCCATGGCTATAATAAATTTATAAATTAAAAAAACACGACTGGGACGTTTTAAAATGCTGTAATAATTAAAATTGATCAAAGTGCCGGTTGTAGCAAACCGTAAAAAATATTAAATGTTATGTTTTATTATGTTTTTTAAATATTTTCTATATCTTGTTGCCTTTTACACACCAATGGATTTTCATTCCCGGCACGCTTCATCCCCCTTACTAGTCCATGAGCTAGCGATGAATCACTATCTATAATTTTGGCCGTCGAGTATTCACACGAATGATTATATGAATGCATCCGAAATTAATCTCATAGAAATCAAATATAGAACCATGGAATTTATTACATGATGAAGGTGAAACATTTTTAAATGACAGCCATAAGCATATATCATAGGAAATATACGTAGCATTATATTTTCTACATTCGACGTTATAATATAACATTTATTTCACTGTAAATCTACCAAACAACAATCATATTATGTTAAAAACTTAAAAAGTGTGGTTAAAAAACATACGATTTCGGACAAAAGTTAAAATTATTTCTACTTTTTCCGACATCGTATGAATTTTAAAATTTTCGGATGAAAATGAGCGGTAAAAATTTGAATATATATTAACCAATAGGAACACTTTCGGACCTTCGTATCGTCGGAATTCGGATGCATGGGACACCGGCCTTAGTGGTAACCTATAATCTTTCATAATAGATGCCGTGGCGCCGTTCTACTATGTATGGCTTTAATAACAGCCGTATTTCAACGAAAACAGATAATACGGAAATAGTTTACCATAATTTTCCCAACGAAAAACATTTTGTATCCGACACTATTCGAAAATAATGGATTAGACGTCGTATGCGGACAGACGATTGAAAATGATTATGATATAAGAAGTGATATAAGAAATGAATTATTAGGTAATAATTACATTATTTGTTCAATGTTGTAAACAATTAAACATTAGTTTGTAGGTTTGCCTCCACGAAAATTTCTTAAAACTGCTATGCCATCATTATTTCTTCCAAACAAACCACGGGATGTACCAAGTTTACGGACACAAACTTATAATAAAAAAAAAAGGAAATGAAAGAAGAGTTACAAAGAAAGGAGGAAGAACCGATATATCGATGTATCGACAGCGTTTCAGATCGCTGTGTACCTTTATGATTTGATATCAATTAATCATCATTTTTTTTATTTAATGTGTAATATAATAAAATTATGTTGATAAAAATAAATTTAATTTTCAATATGCAAAAATTAGTAGCACTGAAAGAAAATAAACTCGGTTCCATCTTATAAGAAGACAAACTAATACATCTTATTTATCAACACGTACAACTAATGTAATGTAATTTTAATATATCTAATCATTGTGATATTAACTACAGTACAGTTCGCTCATTAAAATCAATTATTGTATTGAATTTATATCGTTTAATTTTTTAATTGTATTTTTTCCTATATACTTAATAGAAAATATAAAAATATTTAGAGTGGAAGGCAGAAGTTCTATCCATACCACAAATCCATAAGAGTTACCTACTTATATTATTTTGTGGTATGCGAAAAGATATCGAAAGATTGATGTTTTTCTTTTAATGCATTGAACCCGTCAATGTGACGTTCACTGATGTCGTACATCTATAATTTTTCAAAAATTGCCATCCCTAGACGTATACCTGAAATGTTATCAGCCGCCAGTGGTTACAAATATCACCACTTTTTGTAATGAAACTAGTTACTATTTTGTGAATGAAACTTGTTCGGGATATATTATTAATATTTTCATAAATGCACATTAAAAGCAAACTCTTCTTTACAACACTAGTTTTAATCATTTGTATTGTTTTATTTTTATTTAATAAAAAACTGTTACCTACTACTTACCATTTTTTTATTACAGTACCTAGTTTAGAAAATATTTAATGTGCTTAGTTCTTTTAAAAATATCAACGGAATAAATAAGTTACTAGTACACATTTAAATAATAATTACTTAACTTTAAACATATTTGAAAAGATTTAACACAGTAAAATGAGTATTTCTATATAACTTTGGGACCTACAACTCGTCAATGTTATACCTTTTGGGTATTTGGCTAACTCTGTGGAGAAGGGAGTGGTTTTCTAGATGTTAACAGGGCGCCAGACAAATTTTCTATAGCCGTACAAATACCCTAATAGTTGACTGTCGACTTCCGAAAATAGTCAAAAAGAGGTCGACGATAAATAAAATACGATAATAGTACAACACAAGATGAATATATTTTATTTTACGTATTTACACTTATTGAGTTAATTGTATATTTACTGAATACTGTCTGAAAATTGAAATAGTATTTTGATTAATAGCAAAAGCAAATATTGAGACTAGCTACGCAAACGATTAGAGATTAGGGAGATAAAATCTATTTAAGCAAAATGCAAAAGACAGGCAATAGGCTTCGAAATGGCGTCGCTTGAGCTCAGGCGCATGCGCATAAATACACACAAGCAGGTGTATACCGTAAATAAGCAGATAAGTACCCCTAATTTCCGCAAGCGTATTACAAAATGCTGTCAATTAATCTAGTCAATAAAGCGGAAAAATAAGAGAAAATATATAAAAAAAAAAACAACAATGTAAATGTGCCAATATGGCCAATAAATAAAGAATATTAACAAAAGCGCAAACATGCAAACAATCGGATCTAAGCCAGTAAAGCTAAGCAAATAATAAATGTTACTAAGCAATAGCAAATTACCAATACTAATAATTTAATGTTACGATCAAAATTTAAGCATAGAGCAAAAAAAATAAAAGCGAAATGTTTGTTTCAAAAACTTGCGTGATATCCTTTATTATCCAAGAAATATGTCTGGTAGAGGATCTTCCATGGAACTGTACCAAAACTCCTATGGGATGACGAATGATGGTAGACGTGGTAGCACCGATTGCGTAATGCTTGGCTGAGACTGTCACAGGAGATATTTGAATACGTACAGGAACGTCAACAGTGTTCCAAATGCTGTTACGTAGAAGACCAGCTTCAAAAACAAAAGGAATCAAGCTTTCAGGAAATATTCCAAGAGTGTGTGGTCCCCAAAAAAAAACCCTAATGGAAAATTAAAAAAAGAACATTAATTTAATGCTATGGCGCAATACATATGATATATATGGTCACAACGTGACGTATTATTTTAACAAATTAATTTACCTAAATTTTTAGTAATAAAAATAAACTGGCAACGTCGCATGCCATTGCCTATATGGTTAAATTTTACTACAGCTACAAAAGTATAGAGCTTATTACAAAAGGCTAAATGTAAAACAAAAGAAAAATAACTATAATAAAAATACTTACCCTTAACTAAGGGGTTCTTTATAAAACTTGCCGCTTGTAGGCTATCTGCGTATGCGGACAGACGAATACGGACCTTATGGTATCTAATGATAAGGAAACAATTCTTACAATTTGCAATTTGAACTGAACTATTACTAAATATTATTGAATTACCGCTAAAAATGTACAATAACTAATAACTAATGCCTACCTCAATTCGTTTTCCTGGGGATACGATTTTCACACGGCGTGGTGTCAGTGATCCTTCATAAGAAGTCAGAATAAGGGGTTTACACCAAAAATACTATAATCCACAGCACTATATACCCCTAAATTCTTGATAAATGGCCACAAAAATTGCTCCTAATTAAAGATGATTTCAGAAATCATAGATTTTTCACTGGCCACCAATTCACACACACCCTCCAAAAAATCTAACCTTCTCCTGTCTTTCCACCCAGAAAACGCGCGGAAAAACCCCCCCTGGAAACTAATCATAGTGTGATTGGACAATAGCTCTGCCAATCACAGTCAAGCATGTCGGAAATAATTGAAAATATTGGTTTTTCCTGATACAACAATGCAACGGAAGGCTATAATACTATATTCTAAGTGTAAATTAACTAACTAAAATAAGACGATGTCATAATCGGGAGTTTTCAACATTAAAAATGCTATGCACAATCGGGCAACACTGTACCGCGCAGACTCTACTTGACTTAATTTAAGTCGATCAATAATCACGGAAGAAGAAGGAGACAATATGGCGAGATGTCAAATTTGAAATAAAATAAACAAACAAGAATCAATGCCCAGTGGACTACATTAATTTTAAATTTAAGAAGCCTGTAAGAGATACACTTTAAGGTAAGCTACGTTAATTAATTGTTAGATACGTAAACAATCTCTAAACCATATCACGAAATGAATTAGGTTATACAAAATTTATATTTATAAACTATTATTTTAATCTTTATTTCAGGGTCCCAGCATTTTTGCGTTTCGAGATGCCACTTGCCGCCTACAAAAACTCCAAGGAACGATAAACACTCCTGTCTACCGTTATAAAAAGGTACGTTTTTCAAAATGTTATTTATTTTATTAATAAAATTACTTTTTAGCTAGGAATGCAAAGGGAATCTCTTCAAGGAAAACCCAATTGGTGGACTATACGAATATCCTTTTCCTTTTAACATAAAAGATCAAATCTTATCTATACAGTGTGATGTAAATTTTAGAATGAAAATACAAATTTTGAATGGATAGAGATGTTTAAAGAAATAGGAAATAAAACCTTATAAATACTGAGTGTTTCAGTTTTCAGAATAATATACATGCCTTCTTTTAAGGTAAAAATTAAACGTTACAACTTTTGAAAGTGCAAATGAACCAGAAAATAATAATTTTCATATTTTAGTGGAAGTTGAAACATTCATAATTATCTAAATTAAAAACTTACAATATTAACTTCTTGCGATCTTTAAAATATGTACATGCCTTTTGCTAATAAAAAATAGAAATTTGTATAACTTGACTATAATTTTATTTACCGGGTGTCACGTTGCGGATTATATAAAGTATATATTTTAAGCAAAATCATTTTAAACCCCATATTAATAATAATAATAATAATACATCTTATAACAATATGCGAGTATGCAGATTTATCTGTGGTCCGCGATGACGTCACAACCCCCACTAACGTGGAGAAAATAAATATTATAAATATCCTTGACCCACGCCTATGATTGCAATTCTTACTACCCGTTGTCGTTACTCGCCTGAACGAACGCCTAAGCCCTCTTTTCCGCTGGAACGCTGCGCGACGGAATCGACGCTAACCGTTCCCGCCAAGACAGTTGGAGAGCTGTATGAGCTGTGCCTGAAGTATATGCATTATAAAAAGAGAAGAGGATACAGGTTTTGAAATTATTTTGTCTTACCACATTATTTTTCTTGTCCCTGAGAAAATTAATATTTTGATATAAGAATTTGTGTCATATTCTACAGAAAGTAGGTAGGTGGGTCATGAAGGCAACAAAATAAAAAAATATTGTAAACTACAGTTTTATTATAACTTATACAGTTTCGGGAGGAAAAGGAAATATTTTAAGGACGTGTTCTGTAAGTGAAAATAAGTAAATAAGTTCATGATATTATGGGTCTGGAAATGTTTCCTTTCTGAGATAGATGTCGAAAGAAATTTAAAATCCGTTTTTTTTCTAAATATTTCGAAAACGATTTCAGATATTACACCAAAGCTCAGTGTAATATCTTAAGGTGGCCATATCCCTGGCCGAGAAATGGTGAAATTTCTGGCAATTTTAGGTACCGAAATCTTGAAAAGTAAAACGTGTAGAACAAAAGTAAGCACAAAAATAAAATCCTTGATGTTTTGTTTATTCATTGTTACCCAAATAAAATAATAACTAAAAAAAGCGTTTGTAAAACATGCGTTTGCTGTTATCCTAACCCTACATTTTAAGAATTATTTTCACGTACTTATAGCGAACGAAATTATCTATCTTTGTCATAAGCATACGAGTTGTCCACAACCTCGGTACCATGAGTGCGACAAAGCGAACGTGATTTAAAAAAAAAAAATTTGTATCTGTCTAAAAAACAAACGTAAAAAAATATTTGAAGGCAACTATTCATTATTTTAAATAATCAATGGAATAGTATAATTAAAAATTATATCTATTTCTCTGAAAAGAAAAGTTACATTTTTTAGGGTAGATTGAAAAAAAAAATAGAAAATTCATTAATTTTTCTGCTTGTTATGATTTTTTTATATTTCTGAAATCTTCTCTTAACTTCCAGTCTCCCTAACTGTTAATTTTAATGCTACAAGAAAAAGTCAAGAAGCCATTTTTATGTAGAACTGTAGGTATGCTTTACAACTTTTATAAGAAACTTCAACTGATTTAAGGGGGCGATTTAGTATGTATATTTTTACCATGTAACAGAGCTTCAGATGAGGACACAAATCGTCGAAGAAACTAACATAATTGAATATTATTATATATCAATGTATTCGCAATGGTTCCCGCTAGTGAGTGAAATAAATTTCAATGCTCATGAGAACAGA